TCATCTGCGTCATAAGTCAGTGCTCCTATCAGCTGCATGTTTGACCAAGTAGAGATCGTCTGAACGTTCTGCACATGACGGATCGTTATGGCTGCTTGGGATTTCGGCATGTATACTATAAATCCCTTCTTTCATCGTTTTCACCGAGAGTAATGACGGTTTCACCTTGGCGTTTGAGTAAATATTTGTTGGGGTCACACGATACGATACATTTCGAGCCAAATTCCACCAAATTTACGACTTTGAGAGGTTTATTCAGAGATATCTCCATCGGAGACTAACTCCCAGAATTATCTTGGTAAGAATAAGGTTGATCACTTACGCTCCAAAATATGTGCAGCAAGATCAAGAAGTTCAGTGAGACAACACTTGAAATAACATGCATCCAGCCATGTTCATCGATTTTCAAAGTGTGGGTTCTGCCTCACCATTTCCGGCCTAATTTCGATTTTGGTCTTTTGCTTGAACACACTAGTGCTGTTGCAGAATAAATCAACGTTATTGAACAGTACCGCTACTCTGTCCGTGCTCTGCACGTGCACTCGGCATTTTAAACGCTTTTCAAACCAAAAAAGAAACAACTCGAGCATGTTTTTAGAAATTTCTTTTGTCGCAGCCGAGCAATCCCGACAGTACTTGGTTTCACGATCGATACATTTGATCATATACCTGTTCTGTTTATATCGCGTGGTGTGATCGGCCCCTTGATGTCACTGCAAATGACTGCTCCAATTATGTCGATATCTGCACTTGAATCGGATTCAGATTTCGGCTTATTTGTGCGGGTATGTTATCCCTTCGCGCAAATGAAGCAGGTTCACATTCTCGACGTGCACGATGTATTCCTTATTGCCAATCATTTGCCGAATAGTCAGAAGTCGTATAAGTCAGATGTCCCAAACTGTGGTGAAACTACATTAACGTTTCTCTCTAATCGTGTGATCGAATGCATTGATGTTTGCAATAGCAGTCATGACTGTGGATATAAGGTGATGTGGCTTGAGAATGGGCATGGGAGGGATGTTTATACGCATGTGTGTATATGTGTGTGAATGTCTGCTAAAGTAGTACAAGAAAAATATAACAGAAGATACGAGATAAAGCAACAGCGCTAAACCTCAGCGAGAAGGCTTGGTGAAGCCAACACAAAGACTACCGGGTCGATACACGGAGACATAAAGAGAAATCATCGTATCATGGCGATAGAAGTTCGCTAGCACTATAGTGCTACGTAGTGACGTCTCCCACTTCTATTACTGCTCTTAGGAACTGTCGTCCACATTACAGACAAAAGGAAATCAACCATGAACGAGGATCTTGTCGATTTAAATAAATGGTAAACTAGCCAAGAGGATAAATGGAAATAGGTAGTATAGAAATATATGGGTGCACGGTAGAATAGAGGTGAACACACTGATTGTACAAATGTCTTCTGATCTCACTGCTTCGACTACAAGTGTCATATTCCAAACGCTCACTTCGACCTGAATCGTTAACACATACAACCTTCACGGAATTTTCTTCTCGATGATGTTTCACTCGTTCATCCACCAGAACATCGCTAACGAAGTTCGTGTAGAATACTGTGTGATCATCCTTTACCACAGCGTGGCTTTCTTGTCTCTATGTTAGTGTACACCGCGCTTACATAATATCTTCCCATGACAACAAATGCTTGTTTAATTGTGCGACAAAACACACGTCCTATACGCCACGTGGTCAAAATACCGTCTACAAAGTCATGCGAATTATACCTTTCCGCATAGTGTTACTTGTAGTGCCGCACCCTCCGCCTGCTTGGGACCCTCGAGATTTAAACAGTCGATGGTATCGTAGAGTAGGTTTGCGCCAGATACTAGATGTCGACTCGCACCTGAATCTAATTTCTCATGACTCATGTCCTTCCAAGTATGTCGCAGTTAATACGACACGGGAACCTTCGTCTTCATTTGATCCCTTTTAATTTTGTGGCGCACTAACGACGTGTTCTTTTTTCGCATGCGAAACATATAAGACAACGTACATCATCCGAAGCATGTACAGCATAACTAGTTCATCAAAGTGATGAGAAAGAGTGGTCGATCTCGTAGATGATATTGATAGAACTCGCTCGCTTGAGCACACAAATCGCTTTAAATCGTATACCACTTCGCTAACGAAATCAATTACATTTTCGGACGCACACAAAACGACATTCTTCAAACTTAAAGTCGACAAAGCTCCTGCAGCATTCCTGAAAGTCACTAGATACAAACATCAGTTGCTCAATCTGGATCCAGACGCCTTCTTGGCTCTAAACAGCGCTATCGTTTGAATCGTACTTATCTACGCGGGTAAAGCCGGCGTCATTTGAGCGGTATCGTATGCTAAGGTCGGTTTGGACACAATTAACACGCCTCGCTGATTGTCGAAGTACTAAGCGGCTCAAAGTCGTAAATGTTGACCAAACTTAACAAGCTTACACTGCTTCGTCTATAAACAGCCGTTGCTTCTTTCACAATCTACTTCTTCGACGAACAATATCGTCCGTTGTGGAAACCCGCCTTCAATTCCTTCCCTATACGTCTCCGTCGCGTCAAAAATACAGACACTCAGTTTGAGGCCTTGTTAGGTGGTACCCACGTTTCACCCTTCTACGTATCACGATGAAGCGGTAAGCTGAATCTCGCCAAAGGAAAGGAGGCGTATTTGGAGGATTTTGTGCATCTTCATTGCGTCTTCCACGCTCGTAGGAGACTGCACCAGCATTTGAATATTTGTTTGGATTTGCACGGACGTGAGTGGTGGTTCTTGTCGTTGTAGCTCACTTCTGCGCACTAATCTCTTCTTTCTTCACCCTGAGTCGAGCATTCTGCTCCATTTGCTGCTCGTGCAGCCGCCTGAGATGCTTTCGCTCCTCTCGTAGAAGTTGCTCAGAATCTCGCATCAGACGATGGTGATCCGCAAGCTGAGCATCTGCACCGGCGGGTTTTGTGCGTGGAGAGCTTCAGGATACTGTTTTCTCGCTGTGCGTGGTTCGGCCTTACTTCCTGCACTGACTGGCGCTGAGCTTCTCCTTCCGACCAAGTATGGCCTATCTCGTCCAATTGGTTCGTCTTCCTTCGCGCATACTCCTCCATAATCACCAGTTATACTTCCTGTAGACGTTGCAAATATATGCGCTGCTACGTTGTTCGGCTTCAATATAAGCATTGACGTGCCGTCGCTGCTTGACTTGGACCTCGCGTGTAGCGGAGCTGGTGTGCCTCAGACGCGACTCCGTTCCAAGCACATCCGAGAGTCCGTCCACATACATAAGCTCGACCAGGTTCAAGTTTCTCGAGGCGGTCCAAGCGTACCGGCGGAAGGAGATGATGCCTGATACATTGGCATGGACGCCTGAGGGGATGTCTCATGCGCATATTGCGTGGCTAATACGATCTGTCTATCTTGTGCCTCTAGCAGGCCCGTGATCTGCTGCAAATGGGTAAGCATGATCTCGTACTCAGGCGGCGATCCATTCGTTGAGCTTTGCATGCCTGATGGCGTCTGTGCTAGAAGGTCATGCCTAGCCAGGAAGCATGCGTTGCCCATCTCCTTCGGGAGGCAAACTGAAAAGTCGCTTCGTATCGCAGTTCTGGGCAAGATATCTCTCGCCTGTTGGGCTCATAATCTGTTGAATACGACATGTTTTATCAGAGCGTCAAAATTGTCGTGTATGGTTTCACGAAGTGAGTGACCTACTGTGGCTTGTGTAGGGAGTCTGCCTGGCGCACCTGCTACACACGCGGACACTCGTGCCACCTCATAGAATTGCTGGGCAGTGAGACATTCAGTGTATCCACTTTCCACATTGCTGCAATACTAAACCAGCACGATATGGCTTAATGCGGTAGAATTAGCGCGGCCTAACAATCGACCGTTGCATAGCACTTTCAGCTCACGCTCCAAACGTCATGTCACCGCATCGTTCTCGTAAAGTGTTTGTCTACGGAAACGATGAAAAGGGTTCTAATTGATGCAGTATGAGAGGGAACAAAGAGAATGCCTGTGCATGCATATGAAGGATCTCAGGTGTGTGTGCAATTGGTCGTACAGTTGCCATCACTGGTGCATTTTCGACTTTTTGATGATTTGGCGCACCGTTTGCATCCTTTCCATCTTGTGGTGCGCTCTTGTCTTTATTTTTTTGATTAGTTGGTGCATTTCCTTCTCATCTTATGTTACATTCTTCTATTCTCGTGATTACATGGTGCCTTGTGTGTTGGTGTCATTGCTTAAAAACGTAAGAATTGGTGACTTATGCTAAATGGTATACGGTGCCTTTTCCAGAAGCTCCTTAAAAGTAGTATCCGGGACCATCACACGCGAAGATAATTTTTTCCTATCGACATTTGCTGATGTCGATGTCTTGAAACGAGCTCACCTTGTTGCAGAAGAGCTCAGCTGAATGGAAAGCGAAAGTGTGTGAGTGGCATTTCAAATGAAGTATTGTCCAGCAAATGTCGTTCGAACTTACTCAAACGACATCGACCTACAATATGTCCATGAAAGCTGTCTGTTCGCTCCCACTGTCACCTCCCACCGTGCGCGTCTGGCATGAATTGGACGCTCGACTGGCCGATACAATGTCCTGTATCAACCGACGAACGAATGCGCAGAATCTTGTCGGTTTCAACACAATACTCACATCTGACATTCAACGTAATGTCAACCTCATTCAACGAGCCCACTCCGTCACAAGGAACGTCATTGATCGCGAACGATTGATCCCTTTGCAGACACGATGATGCACATAGCTTTGTGCAAATCTTCGTCGATGGTAAGAAATACCAGAGCGAAAGCCGTAGCAAGGATGATCATGCACCAATAAGTTTACCGGTAGAATGTAGTGGACGCTCGAGACCTAGAAACAAGACCAAGACACGTGATTCGCAGTGGCAGTTCATTCTACGAACTCATGTCAATAGCTTATTCGACTTCCCTGAGTGTACAAGTCGCTCGATACAGACTTACTGCATTCAGCGTAACCCCCACCACGTAGGCGAACCTGGAAGGACGTAGGAGCGAAACAGGTCGCTGAGAAATTGCCCGATGAAAATAAGGGTCATCGTAGCGAAGGCTACGATCGTCAAGTGCCAATTCGAAAACACGTCTAAGGTGGATAGGGTCTCTGCAGCCACAAAGCTGAACGGGTCCCTTTGGATCGTGGCATAGACTCCCTTAGGCACTTCAATGCGTTCAATGGCAAAGTTGTCGTCGCGCGTTACGATGATCCCCAATGAACTCTGCATGCGCGAAGTAAGAGCAATTGTCACGTATGAAAAGGCACGGCAGAATTTGCGTCGCAAAAAACAGTACCTTGTCGGGCATGTGGCGGAATACGTCAAAAGCAACATCTCCTGCAGTTAACCTGCAGCACGCACGCAACGAACACAACCCTTAGGCAACCGATCAATTCAGAGAACAAGACAGCGCCCAGGACCCACGTGATGAGCGCACTGCCTTCGATAGCACCTTCTTTCACCAGCGGTGGAAGGTTTTGTCTCCGGATCCAGTCGGCATTCAGGTACACCCACTTCAGTGCACGATTGACTTCATTGCCGGACGTAAGTACTTGAGCTGGGTCTCTGTCAAACCAAACAATCCCACGTTGTACAGTGTAAATACACACAACAACGACTTCGGTGTGTGGTGTCTGCCTTCGGCATCTTACCTGGTCCCCACGATTTTAGGCAGCAAGAGCGTGATGGCCTCATACACGAGTGAGCGAGCGCGGTTTTCCATCCGATGGCGAATACCGTGGGATTGAGAGCATCCTCGTAGATCAGAGTGATCTTGAACCGTTCGTTTTAGACTCGCGTGCAACCAGAAGCGAGCAGATTCCGCTTTCAACATGTTATTCACCTTATGGCACGTCGCGCGTGCGACCAGAAGATCCTCTGCTGCCAAAAAGTACGCCACTTTGAACTGAATCTCGTACGGCAGGTTGAAAAAAACGCTGTTCCTCTGTGGACTGTTGTCATATGCAAGCAGCAACAGGCATCAGTCAACAGACAAGTTCTATCACATGGCCCTTTTCACGAATAAAGACCTGCTTACTCGTGTGCCAGTCTGGCTGAGATATCCGCCATCAAGCGGCGTTCCGTTTCAGCAACGAACTCCATTGTAAGCTCTCCACAAACACACGTGACAATTCCAAGTGTAGTGCCAAACTGAATGGCGATAAGAATATCCCTTGGCCACAAGAAGTCGTAGGAGATGTACCAGCCGCCGCACAGCGAGACCACTTCCATCCACGAACGACATGTGTGACTGGCGAAGTTCTGCTTGACGTACAATATGCGCTCCTGGATAACCATGCCGACCTTACGTGTGGGCTTCCAGATGACGAACATGTCGCCAACCAGCGCAAAAATGACCCCGCTCATCGTAGCAAGGACAAACGCAACCTCGATACTGCGAAGATGCGTATAGATGATGTTGAATGCAACGGCCCCAACAAGGCCTAGCAGACCCATGACCGGAAGCGGAAGAATCTGCACCTTTTCCACTGCATTTTCCTCAGATTCTGTACACCAAGGCACGATTGATATCAGCAAACGACGATATGGAGCGACATCTTGCTCTGCATTACTTACCACTCATGGGCAAAGCCCGTGCACGACTTCGCACTTGCTCTCCACCGAGTGTCACCACGATTCCAGATAGGGTGCCGACTTGAACTGCGACGACCAGATCGTGATAAATCGCGTAGCTGCCGTATATAACACCGACAAAGCAGCCAAACTCGACGAAGGATCGCACCGGATACTCGCGCCAATTTTGTTGGACGTTAATGAAGCGGTCCTGCAAGATCACTCCCGCCCAACGCGTCGGTTTGAAGAGTACAAGCATATCGGCACAGCACAAGAAAAATATTCCTGCGACGGTGGCAAGAAGGACTGTGACTTCGAGACTGCGCTTATTCTCGAAGATCCACTGAAACGTGCCTGAGCCAACGTAAGCGAACAGGAGCATCACAGGAAGCGGGCGAGCTTGATCTGGTCCAGTAACGTTGCCGCACACCGTTCTTGTTGGTGACATTGGCGACGTGGTTGTCTCACTCTCCATGGGCAGGGCAAGGCGCCCCGGAATCAGCTTTGAGCGAGTTTTTTTCCGGAAAAACTCGCCGGACAAAGTAACTGCAATTCCTGAGAATGTGCCAAGCTGAAGCGCCAACAGAAGGTCATCATACATTGCGAATGATCCCCAGATGACTGCGAACCACGTGAAAAGCTCCAAGAACGAGCGCAGCGGCTCCAGTTGCCAGTTTTTCTTTGCATTTGTAACCCGGCCCTGGAGTAGCAGTCCGACATCGCGCGTTGGTCCCCACATCAAGAACAGCTCACTTGCTGCCAGGAAGAACATTCCAGCGAACGAAGCGAGACAGAATGCTGCCTCGATACTATCGAAGTAGTGATAAATAGATAGCAGTGACACCATCGAAGCATACGTTATCAAGAACGAACAAAAGAGCAGCGCGCACGTGGCAGTCAGCTGCATGCGCATGTGAGTGCCAATGGTCAGATGGAGGCGCGAGCATACTGAGTGGCCACCAACGGATACCACAATACCTGAGAGCGCAGCCAGCGTGAGTGAGCTGAATGCTGTGGACGAAGCAGTAAACGTACCAACGAACACTCCAGCAGAAATCAGCGTTTCGACAAACATGTGAAGCGGAAACACGTTCCACTTGTTCTTAAACTGTTTCACTCCCGTGTGGAGCAACACGGCAGGGTGCAGTTCGTACGGAGCCGGACTGGTCAGGTATCCCACCGATGCTGAGACAACGACGTTGATTGCAGAGTATTGCGAAAGAGAAAGCACGGTCCCGTTGTTGTTAATCACAGCGAGAAGCGTTGAGCACAAATCAAATGTTGATACCACCATGATGCCCACAAACGTCCATTTTACCCGTTTATAGAAACGAGGGTACCGCTCTTTTATGACACTCAGGGCATAAGCAGACCATGACTGTTGCGCACCACAAGAACGCTCAGCGCCCTGTGTCCAGTTTGAACTGCCCGTTCCAGCAGATGAAGGCGAGACGAGTACACCGCGTCTGGCTTCTCCCGGTTGACCTCCTTCACTCAATTCGATATCATCCCAGCGTTCCCTTGAAAAAGCAATGCAGAAAGCGGATAGACCACAGGAAAATATCACTCCCGGTGGTCCATGAGAAACCATAGGCGCGATGAGCGTGATACTGCCAGCGCAAATTTTGGCCGCCAATCGTTGTCCACATTGAAGCAGTTTCGCCCAAGACGGCTCGCTCGACGGCGCGAGAAACGTAAGCGCGACAGCGGCTGCAACAATAAAGACCAAAATGAGTGCTGATAACGTTGGTGACACGTTAGCAGCATGACCGACCGCAGCATGCGCTCGAAAGGTTAGCCACACTAGCATCCCAACTACCGGAATGCGCTTCATCCAGTGACTAGCACGCGTTCTCACTTCTACCTGTAAATTTGACGGACTCACAGATCGGGGCCAGCTGGAGGAGGCCAGCAATTCGCTACCAAGGACGAGCAGCACGCCACAGAAAGCTCCGAGCTGCACAGACTGCACCACGTCGTTCGAAGCGCTATAGTACCACATCGTGACTCCACTCGTCCCTGTGATCTCGCCTAGCGACCGCAGCGGATACCGCTTCCAATTCTCTCTAGCTCCAACAATGCGTCTCTGGAGTACAATACCCACTGGACGAGCTGGTGTGCACAAACAGGGCAGCCGTTTACTAGCCAAGAGGAGCGATGCACCAACTAGTGCACTCACCAAGCAATTGACCACGGCGTGATCAATCAACTGACACGGCGTCTCTTGTGCCTCGTCAGTCTCCTTATTGTCCATGACATAGCCTCGCAGCCTTGTGCCTGTCTCGACGATCATGTAGCCCACACAGCCACACGCCAGCACGATCTTCGGCCACAATGTGTTCCGGACACCGCTCATCTGATCCACGTCCAGTCGCTTCGTATCAAACAGATGCACAGCCGATGCCATCGAGTCGCTTGTACCCGCCACGACGAGCGCTGCAGCTGCTCCTCCGCCAACTGCGATCCACATCGAGTGAGAGACCGTATAGAGCAGCAACAAAACACCCGCAATCCACGTGCATCGATCGAGCCAGCGTCGCGCCTTTTCGCTCGACCAGAGCCGCATGTGCCATCGGTCCAACTGCCCATCAGCCACGTGCGCAGTCTGTGAGAAGTGTTCCATGACGTGGCACGCGCTCGTGTAGCAAAAGCCGGCGCCTGACACGAGCAAGAGACCGCCCACGAGATGCTGTACACGTATCGGCAGTTCGATGGACGTCAAGACGGACCAGAAAGTGCAGACGAGTGCCCCAAGTGCGACCGAAATACGGCGATGCCCACAGCGTCTCCCACGTCGCTTCGTGACCGGAGCTTCTCCTGCTGTTGCTGCTGCTCGCAGTGGTAGTGGCGACGGTAGTGATGAGAGCAGGAGGTCGTCCAGCGCGTGAGTGGACGCGCTCTGGTCGCTCGTCCTGTGGCGCGACGCGGGTGCGCGCATGGACGAAAGTGGTCAACGCGTCTCTCTCTCTCTTCTTTTTTCGTTCTTCGTCTTTGTTTACGTTTGGTTTGCAATTGGATAATGTTTGCGGATAAACGCGACAGCTTTGGCCGTAGAGCTCAAGTTGCGGACTGAAAGGAACGACAGACAGCACTTGAGGAAAAGGGAATCGGGCGTTTCGACTTGTGGCGGACGAAAGGGGCGGATATCGATATGTGGATATTCGATAAGTGAACGATGATCGACGACATGGGTCGGTGGAGTGAGGAGGACGAGATATGAGACGTGGTTGCGTGCTCCTGTAGCGTGTGCAGTCGCTGCAGCTACTTGCAGTGTCGCGACGGGGGAAGCGCGGGGGACATTGTACGACTAGCTTGGTGCAATGCGTCCGCGTCTATCGTTGCGTTCTATGTGGGACTGACGTCCTCCCTGCCCTGCTTGGTGCGTTTGCTTCTTACGAGCAGGAATTCCTGATTCAGCTTGCAGAGGTGCAGAAGGAGACGATATCGTTGTGTAGTTTTGTCTGGTTGTGGTGTCCATGACCGTGGCCAGGACTCGATGTTGCTTGGAACTGGCAGGAGACACGCGCCCGCCTACTCCACGATCTCTGTCCCGTTCCCCCCCCCTTCGATCACTACTTATGAGTCAAGTAAGACCGACAAGATGCTAGTCACGTGTGTGGCATTTACCAAGCAGGAGTTGGTCACGTCACCAAGTAGTCAGCGACGTGAACCGGAGAAAGTAACAAGGGTTACCATGCATGCCCCGCATCGACAACATCTTCGTATCGTCATCGCTGCACATCGATCCGAGTTACTGAAGTGTCGTGTGGCACAATGCAAAGCACTCGTTGCTCTAGCGGACTGCGGCAACAATTGCCACACAGTAGACGAAGGACCTTTGAGCCTTTTGGTTGACTCGAAGCTGTCGACATCGGACATTGTACGTCCAGGACACCTTATTTCGCAAATGTGCACGAAAACGAGCAGACTTGAATTGTGTATTCGTTTAATTTGTAGTTGCTTACACAGATCGTCCAGCGTCTCATTTATCGTCTCTTATGACGACATCGATCGACGATAAATAACAGTCTTGCAAACGGTACGCGCACGTCCCTCACGGTATTCACTCACGACTATTGCGTGTTGTGGCCGACCCCGCGCAGCCTCGATATGCTCCATCTTGGAACGTGACTTTCTGCAAGATATGGTAAATACCGCTGGTGATCGCATTCAAGTGGCAATGAGTCCAAGTTGGGTGGGAGACATTAGGCTGCAGTCGTATCTAGCTTTCTTCTCTGGGTATTAAAGAGGCAGAAGTGTTGACGTGGCCTGTAGCGGCTGCACAATGTCCAGTATGTCCTACGTCTGGATAGCTAACGACGCCGATTCCTCGTCAGGTCCGGTAGATGTGCGGGACCCGTCAGTTCCGGTGATCGCGCTCGAGGTTGCCTTGCTTCATTTGGCATTCATTGCACCACTCGCACACCTTGTACTTTCGTCTTGGCTTGCCCCTGTTCTTGCTTCGCTGCAGCGTATTGTTGGCTTGTGCTGGGTTCCCAGGTTTCCGTACTGCTGTCTGCGGGAGTCCCGTCGATCGTCGCTCGATTCCAGTTTACCACAATATAGTGACACGTGCTGCTCAGAATGTGCCATAGTCGCTCCTAAACGTCGGTGCTCGCGTATGCCTTGTCGGAATGGCCTCTGCGTTGTTGTTCCTTGACCGTCTCGGACAGTCACGATGCGAGGAGCAGCGATTGAGGTGCCCGGGCTCCTATCGTCCTCGTGGCCAGCACCAAATCAGCTTGCCAAAAGACTTGGCACGTCCAGAAGATCGGCTCTAGTCTTCGCGCGCACCCTTCGGCCACATTTTTGTAGCTCCCCGGCAACTGCCATCGCTTTTGCTTGTCCAGTCTGGTAACGACTCAGTTGCCGCACTGCTACTCGATACGGTGTTGCTCACGCCTGTACTCCCGCGGGCTCATGTCCATGTGCCCAAACATTTGTAGACGGCTGCGGAAATGCTGTGGCCTGCCACCGCTCGACTTTGCACTGAGGTCTGGCGCGTCTCTAGAGTTCTTGGCAGTGCCGTTCCTCAACGTTTGTACCAGCAGCGAACGTGTTGTTGGGCTGAGCTAGAAGCACCTCTTTGTTCGCGAGGTGAGTGCTGTGTTTGTCCTTGTCGTACCCATGTCCTGCAATGCTCATCTCACCCGTGATGCCATTTATCTCTGTGTGTGGGCTTACCCAGGTGAACACTGTGACATGCATGCGTGCGTCAGCTGGGATGCGGGCACCTGGTTTGGACACTGCTCTCCTTTTCTGCTGTTCTCGTGTCAATCGACGGACTCGATCCCCTTCCTGTGCTCCCACTTGGAGCAGAAGCAAATGTATCGATAGCTAAAGACCCGAATGCTTCGTCGAGACCCACGCACGACGTCTAGAGCTTCTGCGTAGCTGCCAGGAGAATGCTGTTCGGCCGAGTGCAGCAAGTAAGGCCGCGCACGTTAGTGTCCCGCAATGCGCCACAGTACAAGAGTGGACTACGATCAATGTGACTATCCGAGATCAACCGACAGCATTTGCACGCACGCACTGCTGCGTGCTCAGACGCCTTGGTGTTTGAGGGACGACGAGTGGTGCACAGCTGGGCAATGGTGAACTCGTCAGAGGAACTTGGAAAAAGACAAACGATCATGTGCTACGACGGTTCAGTCCATTCGGATTGACTTAGTTTTCCTCTTCTCACTCATTGTACGTACCCTCTCTCGATGGCTGCGGCACTCCCGACAACGAACGAGACGAGGGGACAAACTAGACCCTGACAGGTACAGGCAGACGAGAAGAGAGGGACGGCAGACGAGAAGAGGGGGAGGGGGGGCTAGACGAGCTCTCTACGCTACCAGCTCCACGCTCTTGCCACTGGCCTTTGACCACTTGAGCAGCGCCTCCAGCATCACGTTGGCATCAGCGTCGCCCTCGACCAACACCTGCTGCTTCTCCATGTCGCACTGGACATCCGTCACGCCTATCACATGGAAAAAAGAGATGAGGACCTACGACAGTAGAGAGCAACGGCGCAGATAACAATGTCAAGGACGGAGACGCACCGTCGATCTTGCCGAGGATGCGCGTGCAGGCGTCGGAACAGCCGTTGCACGTCATGCCCACTTTGAATTCGGTCACCTTCGTCATGCTACTTGGCGTTATTGATCCAACTGCTTCGGGTTTTCGGGCGGATTGGAATGTGAGGGGAGCAGAGGCTCGTCGTGCCTGCCTGCCAACCAGCTGCGACCGGCTTTGTTACAAAGGACAGCCACGTGGCCCCGATGACACAAAAAGAACGCGCTATTGTTGACTGACGTCGATGTCGAGCGACGGTGTCTCAGGTGCTGGCGTAAACATCGCAATCCATTCGGTAGGTTCGATTGTAGGCGACGTGACGTCCAAATATGTACCTATCGCGAGCTTCCCGGCACATGGATACAATTGCCATCACGTCGAACTTCGTCCAGCAGAGCTGCTCTTGCTGACAGACATCTCATGACCCTTACCGTCGCGAGGTACTACTACTACTACTACTACTGCGTCCTAGTAAAAGCGTTGAAATCGATTGAGAAGAGCATACGTTTATTCCGATCACTCGTTTGTGTGCATCGCGGACAGACTTGCAGAGACATTCTTGTCTACGCGTTTGCGCTACTACCGCATGTAGCAGCAATGGCCGAAACACAGGCCGAATGTGCAAGACGTAGGGAACGAAGAACGCAGAATCTATCAGGTTGGGTCGGGTCGGGTCGGTCACCAACAACGACAACAATAACGTGGATCGAGCGTTTGATCCGCACATGCCGCACACCAAAACACGTTTGCTGAAAGTCGTTTCGCTGGTTTTATCCGCACGTCAGAACAGCGAAACAGCTGATCCCACGCGCACTTCCGACTGACACGACCTGGTCGCACCTCTCTCGTCTCGCTCCGACATGGCGGCTCCTACGGCCAGCGCTACCGAGCGCGTGGGCCACACCATCGAGCTGCTCGTGCCCGTGTACGCAGAGGTGTGGCAACAGTCTGCTGATGCTGTCGCAGCGACGACTGTCTCTGCGTCGCTCGAGCGCGCCGCAGACGACTGGCTGCAGCTCGTGTTCCCGCTCTCTAACGTGCGCAAGGACGTGGCGTGCGTAAACAATGGGCGCACCTGCCGCTGCAATTTGGTGCGCTTCCTGTGGTCGGTGCTGGTGCTCATGGAGCGGCGTGTCGTGCGCGTAGACACGACGTACGTCGTGAGGCCTCGAGCTGGTGGCGTGGCACCGGTGGCGACGCTTCGGCTGCACGTGCGCGTGCATCGAGACGCCGAGTGCGGCGCGTCGCTCAGGGGCTTTGGCTTTGTGCTGTGTCATTTGCAAGCCAGCGCGCTGTCAAGGGTGCCAGGCGATCCACCCCAGACAGGAGAGAAGGCTGTTGAAGCTGCGTTGGAAGCCGCCAAGACGAGCTCGTGCCATGTTGTTGGCTGCCGACTGCACCAGTGGAAGTCCTCCCAGTGCATGACTCAGTCCAAGCAGAAGCTCAACTTGCCGGATGTGTTTGCCAGCTTGACGAGCCAGACCGACGTGGACCAGATGGAGGTCCGCGACGATGCCACGTACGTGGCTCGAATGGCACGCGAGAAGAAGCAGGTCTTCATGACTGACATGGCTACAAACGTGCTGCGGCGTATCATATGTTTGATGAACGCACGAGACCTTGCGTCCGCTGAGCTGCGTGTGCTCGTTGTTCCATCACATGGCGTACGAAGTCGTGCCTGGTCTGAATCTCGTGCTGTACGAGCATCAGCGGCGAGGCTTAAAGTGGATGCTGCACCGCGAGACGCCGTCGCTGACGTGCAGTCCTCAGCCACATCCGTTTCTTCTATCGTCTGGATTCGAAAGTGACTCGGCCATTGACTTGGTCGAAGACAGAGTCGTCTCGAATCCGCGCGTGATGGTAAGTGACGGTTGTGGAGGCATGTTCTGCGATGAGCCAGGTCTTGGCAAAACCATTACAATGCTGGCACTGATTCTGCGAACGAAAGGACAAAGTACAGACAGCACGCCGATCGACACACATGGCCCTGGTGGCGACACGGCCCGGCCAGGCCTGCGTTCGTCTAGGTCTCGTGGCCGCTCGGTGAATGTGAAAGACCTGATAAGCTCTAGGGCGTCACTGCTCGTTGTGCCAGATCCGCTGGTGGAACACTGGAAGTACCAAGTCGAAGCTCACGTTGCACCGGGCGCATTGCGCGTATTTGTTGACCCTGGCGTCGAGCACCAGTTACCGCACAATCTGGATCTCGCTCAGTACGATGCTGTAATCACGTCCTTTACCAGACTGGCGCGGGAGTGGAGACTTCACCGACCAACTTCTGCTTTGGAGGAGCGTATGCCCGAACGTTACGGATTTGAAGGTCCACAAAGGTATGCCGATGGAACCTGTCGCGGAGAGGTATCGTCCCTTTTGACGGTTCACTGGGTGCGAGTGATTGTTGACGAAGGGCACAAACTAGGCGGCCAGACTCCGTCAGACTTGATGCAACTGGCCCGGCTGCTCTGTGCCGAACGACGTTGGGTGATGACCGGAACGCCGACGCCAAACACCCTCCAATCGGCGGATCTCCGCTACATGCATGGACTGTTAGTGTTCCTTCGCAACTTGCCTTATGGGAGCCCAGACGGACAGGCGTGGACGAAGGCAATTGCTCGTCCGTTTGAGCGCAACGAGCTCATCGGGTTTTGTCGCTTGCAGTCGCTTCTCAGCCGAATCATGATGCGGCACACAAAAGCGACGATTCGTCAGATATTGCCGGAACCAATTCGACGCACTGTGTTTATTGACCCTACGCCATCCGAGTATGCGCAATACAACGGAGTCGCCGCAGCAGTCCGTGCCAACTTAGTCATTACGAATATGGATCCCGACAGCCCCGGCCGTCTGCATCCGGATAGCCTGTTGAACCCAGTCAATCGGAAAGAGGCGTTGCGTGTTGTCTCGAACCTTCGGTCTGCATGTTGTGGTGGGTCTGCTGTAAAAGTTTCGCTGACTGAGGCTTCTAGGCTGGATACGATCAATATGCTAAGTGCACTCAGAGTGGACGGGGACAATATGTCAGTCGTGCTGGAATATCTCCGTAGAGTGCAACTGCAAGGAGTTGTCACGGAATGTGGATGTTGCAGACGGAAGCTACAGCTGCTCATGATCATCCCGTGTGGACATTTGTGCTGTGCAGACTGTGTCGAAGATCGGATGCGACGAGTTGGTCCCAGATGTTTCCGCTGCAATACAGTGTTCGATCGCGAGACGTTCCAACGACTTCAGCCTGGCTTTGAATTTGAAATGGTGGAAGCTGTGGCGTTAGCGAATATCAACTCCAACTCGACTCAAGATGGTCGTCATGGAGGGCCCGCTGATCAGGTTCAGCAGCTTGTAAATGAAGACCAGCTGAACAATAGAGAAAGACGTGGACGTCGGAGGCATGGTCAGCCTCGACGCGGTCAGGAAGCAAACGGTCCGAATGGTCCACGAGCGCCTCGGCGTGCGCTCGATTATACTCGTGACATTCATTTCATCGATGCCAGCAAAGCATTTTACGCTGCAACCAGGATCAAGGAGCTAAAGAAGGAGTTTCGGCTCGGTGTCACATCTCCCGACGGGCGATCTCCGCAACGTCAGACGCGTCATCTCAAGGCAATCGTCTTTTCACAGTTCAAGGAGCACATTTGGCATACCAAGGTTGCATTTGCTCAACAAGGCGTGCCTACAGCTGACTTTATTGCTGGACGGAGCCCAGAACTGCGCATGAAGCACCTGATGAGATTTCGCAAGGATCCTAACGTGAATGTCCTGTTGCTGACGGAGGTTGGCTCACACGGCTTGGACCTTTCTTTCGTTACGCACATCTTCCTGATGGACGAGATCTGGGACAAATCGCTGGAGCAGCAGGTCATAAGCCGGGCTCATCGAATGGGTGCAAGTCAAGCCGTCGTGGTGGAGCAATTGTGGATGCGAGGCAGTGTAGAGAGCCTCGTCCTGAGACCTTGTGAAACGGAGGCCAGTCAGACCGATGTGAATGAGGCCGATGCAGAAGCTCTAGCTTCTCCCACTCGACCAAAAGCACGCGGGAACGACTCGCTGCGGGGATCACCGAAAAAGGCTAACACAGGCGCAGGTACAATGTTTGCTGCTCCAAGTAAGAAACGCAAGCGGCACCGGACAAGCGCAGATGATGCCCGAAAAGTCACACAAGGCAACAAGCAGACTGCTTTGCAACGGAAACTCGAATACGTGCTGAACAACTTGCGCTTGCTTGGAGAAAACGTTGTCGCAGAGCCTGGCCAAGTGCGCTTTTACGTGGAGAACGGGCGCAAGGACGTAATTTGCCAAGCAGTTCACGTCATGCCCTTCCAAGGCTCTCGTGGAAGCACTTTTCTGACGGCGTCCACTGGGCCACCACCAGCACGATCACTGACAACTACTTCACCACCAGCAGCTCAAGCACAGACAGCTGCTTTGCCAGCACCAGCTCGAGCACTGATAGCTGATTTGCCACCAGCACCAGCACGAGCACTGATAACTACCTTACCACCACCAGCTCAAGCACTGACAGCTGCTTCACCACCACTAGCTCGAGCACTGACAGCTGCTTTGTCACCAGCAGCACGAGCACTGACAGTTACTCCACCAGTCCCAACAGGCGAGACAAGTGCGCGTCCACGGCCCCAAGTAAGACGTACGGTTGCATTCGCAAACGAGACTTTCCAGAGCGAGAGCCGTCCTTGTCCCAGTCAGCGCCCCGCCCCAGTTGACATCATTGTGATTGACAGCTCTTCTGACGAAGAAAGCACGAACAAAAGCACTGCAAATGATGATCTGGACAACGCGGAAGCGGCAGTAACGGCTCAGAACGCTCGACGTCGGTGGGCAGAGGCAAGCCGTACTGTTGCAGCTGTGGACTCAAGCGACGAGGATGATGTAGCCGCCGCCTCACCGTCTCCAGAGATTGTGCATGTGACGAAGACAGTGGTGGATGCGACCGCAAAGACGGCCGATGAGACACATTCTGAGGTCGAGACAGTGTCAGTTGTCCAGATTGACGACGACGACGATACCGACACAGAGTGACGCGATCGGTTTCCTGTTGACCTCGTGGTTGGCCGTGGGGCGCTGTGCCTTTCGTGTACTGACTGGTACGAGCGCTCGCCACAGTCTGTGGCGAATACGTCTGTGTTCGAATGAAACGCTTCAGGGCGGCCGCTCGTCGTCGTCGTCGTCGTCGTTGATCCACGTTCCGGCTTGGAACAAGTCATCGCCACCGACGACGCGCTGTGTGTTTGTTGCACACATCGCTCGCGTCCCGTGCTCACGTCGTGCTGTCGCAGTCTATAGCGACCGTTGGTGCCCACGTGACTTGCGCATCTGCAGACACAGATCGTGTGTTGATATGCTATAAAAGGCAGGATAAAAAGCAGAAATACTCGCTGCAGCCAGATGGTCGACTCAGCAGAACCTGGGTCGGAACCCGACGTCGGACAGAGTCCCAGCTCTTATCCTGCTTGTAGAAACGACGGTGTGTCAATACCGTCCGTGTTCACGCAGCGTCGGACCTTTCACGTGACAGTGTCCCGCGCGCTGTCGTAAAGCTGACGATAGAAATGAAAAAGCCGCTCGTCTGTTTTCCCTACCAGACGACCGCACCGCGTAATTTATTCAGAGCCCCACCACACAAAAGCGGATACCGCCTCTCTCATGAGCAGCGCGCCGTACGTGGACATTGACGACATTTTGGCCGGCGACGAGCGCATCAAATGTACGTTCGAGACGGACGTCCTCGACTGCGGCTACCTCGACGCTAGTTGCAACCAGACGGACCTGCCGAGAGGCGCTGTCGTGGAGCTGCCGCTGTGGCTCGCGACGACGTTGGCCCGACGCGGCGACGTGACGCTCGAGCCGCCGCACTTCCTGACCAAACGCTTCCGCCGCATGCTCCAGGCCGGTCCGTCGTCAATCAACCTGCGCGAGTGTTCCGCCTACGTGCTCACAGTGGGCAGCTCACTGCTGCCGTGCGTCCGTGCGGACGAGCAGCGCCAAGTCGACGCGATCCTGCGGCTCTGTTTCGGCGGCGAGCGCTACGCCGCGATCCTCAACAACGCCACGAGCAGCAGCACGTTGACCGAGGACACGACCGAGTTCACGCGGAAGCTCACGCGCGACGAGGCGAAGCTCTTCGAGGCCGGCAGTCGCGACGCCGCGGCCTTTGTGCAGTGGAAAGCCCGCAACACTGAGACCGTTGCGGCGCCGGCCGTCATCGCGCGCGCGCTCAAGAAGCGCAAGTGTCGCTCGTGAACTGGTCGGCTCGTTGTGTTTATCTGATTACACACCCACACACCCACACACACACACACGTGTGAAAAGAAAAAACAATGACTTTCGTACGTACTTACTGGCACGGCGCAATATATATACCCCGTCGCGGTCGCTATTTCTATCCAGTCTTCACGCTATTTCTATCCGGAAACAAACGCGCTCGCTTCCTCCCGAGCCTTTTATCCAGCTTTTTCGTCCTCCTCTTCCTCCCGTCCGCGGGCATCGCCTACAGATGCTCGTGACGTTCGTCCTCGACACGAGCGCGTCCATGAACCAGAGCACGAGCTCCGGTATGACGCTGTTGGACTACGCCAAGTCGGCCGTCGAGCGCTTCGTCAAGCGCGTGCGCGACCCGAGTCGGCGGTACCAGCACCACTTTATGCTGCTCTCGACGGGCAGCCGCGAGCACCGGTATACCAAGAGCAAGTCAAGCGCCGACTACCGCGGCCGCGTGCGCGTGGGCTGGGACCAGTCCACGAACAAAGACGTGTTCCTGCGCGAGCTCAAGAACCTGCGGGCCGTGGACCTGAGCGACGTGGGCGCAGCACTGCAGCACGCGTTCGACCTCATGAACCAAATCCGCCTGCAGTTCAACTGGGACAGCTACGCGCTGGGCCGCACGCCGTGGAACACGAACGTGTCCGTGTGCGTGCTCCTCACGGACGCCACGAGGCTGTCGGACGCCGACGGACTGGTGCAAGACGCGCTCGTGCTCGCGCCGTCGCACGCCGTGGGCGCCGATCTCACGCTCGAGCCTTTTCGGTGGGACCAGCGGCTGTTCACCGTCGCGCTCAAGCTCTCGGCCACGATGAAAGGACAGCCGACGGTGCCGGTCGACTTGATGGCCCTCAGTGAAGCCACGGGCGGCATGCTGTACCTGCCGACGTCAAAGTCCGCCGTGGAGCAGAGCATTGACCAGATCATTTTGAAGCTCAAGGCTGGGGCCGTGGTCAAGTTCAAGTGCGAAGCTGCTGACGGCGAGGCCGAGTGTCCCACGACGAGGAACATTGTGGCACCGCTGCCGAGCGCCAAGGACTTTTGCTGGCCCATTGCAGAAGCGTTTTGGCTCGACCGGAACACGGCCGCGCTGCCGACGCGCGAAGCACATCCGACGCTCGTGTATGCCAGAACGGTAGAGAATGCGATCGAGGCAGCAACGAGTCACATGTTGCTCGATACGCTCAAGTTCCCGGCAGACAGCTACATGCTCGAGACGTCGATTAGTCCGACTCCGAGTCGCGGGCAGCGATGGCTGGTGTATGTCCAAGGTAGCAAAGGTGACGGACGACTTGGAGACCCGATTGGCATCCTTCGTGCTCCGAGCTCGAGCCTTGGGACCCCGTCTCTGAATGCAGTGCTCGTGCTGCTGCCGTACAACTTCCCCAAGCTCTTTTCGCTCCTTGTGGAAGTTGCCCGGGTGTACCAAGCGAGCGGACAGAACATCAACTCCGCGTCGAGCACATGGATGTTCCAAGCCAAGGCCATGCCATCGTCGTGGCGCGAGTCGTTCTCGTCGTACTTGAATGGATGCCCGATCTACTACTACGCTCCGCTGAAGAAGGCATTGCGCAAGTACAACTTGCATGATATGGTGCCAGAGGTCCAGGATTCAGGGCGGAGCTACCAGATTTCGAGTTTCCTGAATCGCCTGCGAGAACAAGCGATAGCAGAGAGTGATAGCAACAACAAACTATTCTCGCGGGGGAATCGAAGCGACCTTGCCAACGCTGCGTCAGGTTCGCGCAGCAGTGGCATCGCCGAATCGTCTCAATCTGCGTCGCCTGTTGCTTGCAAAGACTTTGGCGGGACGAGCCAAACTGACGCAAATCTGGACGCTATTGCAAACATGTCGCTCCAAGAACTGCGTGCTGCCTATCAGAAAAGCAAAGCGCTTTTCTTCGAGAAGTCGTCTAAGCGCCAGTTTCAGATCGCTCTGCCACGCGCAACGGATGCAAAGGCGCCACTAAAGCTCGCGCCCGGTTGGCGTGCGGCAGAGGAGGATGAAAAGCATCGCCAGCCCATTGATGTTATGAGCGACTATGAAGCGCGACTGATCAAGAAAGAGGCACTTCGCAATCCTCTCGCGGAAGCTGAGCCGGACGAGGATACCCCAACGGGGCTGCGGCGGCGCCAATTGTCGTTCAATCTTGGCAACCCGTACAAAAAGAGCTCGTCCAAGGCGAGCAACGTGTACCAAAACGAAGCTGCAGACGAAGCAGCGACACTCGGAGGCCATCCGTCAAAGCGCCAGCGTACGCGCAAGCGATCTTCTCAGCTGAAACGGGACAAAAAGCACTCGAAACGCTCCCACCGCATGCACGGCTCGCCGTCGTTTAACTCGTCGCCGGGCTCGCCTTCTCACTCGCCGAGCTCTCCTGTTTCGAGCACTTCGTCGACAGTGTCGTCGCCGGGCCGGAGTGACGGCGGTGACTCGGTGATGACCGACAGCTCGGGGGGATCAAACTACTCTGTGAAGGCCGAGGCAGCTCAGATGCTGGGCATCCCTCTCCACGACGGCGACTTTGTCGAGGATGAGAAGAACAGCAGCTTTGTTCGACTGGTCTATGGTGTGTTGGCAGAGAATTGGGAGTCATGGAGCACCGTCATCCGTCTCATCAAGGCTCGTTCGACCACGCAACAGGTACGACTGTCTGTTGCAAGCAACTCGCTCGTCGCTCCGCTTTACTTAGTCTCGTGTTTCTGTCTCGTTTGTACAGGAAAAGGATTTTATTGTGAGTGGTTTGCGCTCGATGAAGGGCGGACCAACGGCAGTGAAGACGTACATCGAGCAAGCAATTTGGCATTCGAAACAGTTCCGTCAGAAAACGCTCGAGCAGCAGCTGACTGATTTGCTCGATGAAGTGACCAAGTCAAAAGCTCAAGCGTCAATACCCGATGACTCCAAGAATGAAGCAGCGTAATTGAGCGTCGCTGTCATGGGTTCGTGCGTGCCAAACGACAGCGGTGATGACGTTGCGATCTCTCGTTGTATAGTGGACGTCTCTGGCGAATCGGCAAACGGTCTGGGCAATGCCACCATTTCATCCGGACATGTTGGCCTGGACTCTACCTCTGATCAGATCTCTGGTTGTTGCAGCGACGAAATGCGGCCATCAGGGACCAGATCCTCGTTCAGCGTAGGAGCATCGCACGACGTACGGGATGGTAACGTGACTTCCTGGGCGCTGAAGAAAGCACTGTTGGTCTGGTGCTATGGTCGTCGAAGCGTCGTATCGAGGGAGGGCATGTCGCTTGCGATTGTTGGCGGAAGTGACGCTGTCAGGAAGTTCGATGGGTCGAACGTCGAAGGTGATGCAGCCGAGCATCGAGCAAAACGTGACGACGCAGCTGATGCTGTCGAGGAAAGCGGTATCGAAGGCGAAGGCATATGTTGTCACAACACCGATCGCTAGATGTGTGTGTGTTATTATGCGACCAAGAGGGGTCACTATTGTAGCGATACTTTTATACCAGAGCTGCTTGGATTGGTTCGTGGAAAGCTGCAGGCAGAGTTGCTGGCGGCAGGACGAGGGTTCGATTTGTTGTTGATGACACGCAGTCAATACAGGGTGGCACAACAAATAAGGACATTTTATTTATCCGGAAGACACGTTTTCGTTGAGTAAAAACAAAAGATGGTCGTAAAAAAGGCTGTCGTGTCATTCGGCGCTATCTCCAGTAAGTCCGCACTTCGGATAAGTTCGCATGCACGTTCGATAAGTGCGCTACGATTCTCCGCGAGCGCGAGAAAAAAACAAATCGTCGGTCCGTCGTCGCGATCTGTCGTCTTCTTCTCCCGTCCCCGCACGTCCCTGCTGTCTCGTTTTTCCCACTGACCCGTGCACCTTGTACTCCAGCTCCTCCGCTTTCCATCCATACCCGTATTGTCTCCTGGTTCGTCATGGACGAGTCGCTACTGGCTGATAACGAGGACCACTGTCCCCGAGACGTGGAAGAAGAAGACGAATTGCTCTGGAACGAGCTCAAAGACGACGACCGGTCGCTTCCGTTCCGCTTATCCAGTCACCAGGTTCCTGTCTCAGGTGCTCATCCAAGTGACTCGTCGCCAGCGGCCGCGCCGCTTCCGTCGCTGCGTGTCAACGTGCACCTGCCGGCCATCTCGACGCTCTTCCGCGAAGTCCTGGACAATGTCAAGGCGATGCTGCCAGGCGGCCAACGTCGAGCTGCTGGTCGAGGAGAAGCTTCTGCTGCTGCTGGGGGTAGCAGTCGAGTGTCGCCCGTGCCCGATCGCTACGGCCGCGTGGCGAATCTCGACGCGTTTCTCATTACGTTGTACAATTACTACTACCACAAGGGCTTTTGGAGCATTGTCGTGGTAGAGCTCGTGAGCCTGACGACAGGACTATTGAGTGTCGTGCTCTCGAGTTTCTTGCTCAGTTGTGTGCAGTGGAAACCGTTGCTGGAATGCCATCGACACCCAGAACAACGAGGGTGTGCGCAGGACATGGAGCATTACGTTTCGTGTCGCGCGGACAACAACGGTCCACTCGGATTCATCGGGGCGTTTTACTTTGCCATGTTCCTCTTGTACTGGGTTTCGCGACTTTTCCAGCTCGTTGGAACGCTGAGAGACACGAGAGACATGGAGGCGTTCTACAAAGAGCGGCTGTGTATTGATGAGCGACAAGTGCAGACTATCGCGTGGGACGAAGTGGTGACGAAAGTGCTGTATCTGGTTAAGGGTGCGAACGATCCTGTGAACATGCGACAGCTCTCTTCGTACAAGCTGCAGATTGACCCGGCGCTATTGTCGTCACCACACGACTTTGCAAGACGGATCATGCGGCGAGACAACTACCTCATCGCGATTATGAACCACTCGCTTTTCGAAAGCAAGAACTTGCTGCCCACGTCGCTGCAGTTTCTGTCGACGTCACATATTATGTGCTCAAGAAACATGGAGGCCAATCTGAACATTTGTTTGCTCGATCACATGTTTGACGCCGAGCTAAACTTGGCTCCGTCAGTGATCCACAACGTGGAGATGCTCAAGAAGCGCTTTGTCATTGCAGGCGTGCTCAACTTTGTGCTGGCGCCCTTCATCTTGCTGTACCGCCTTTCGCGTTTTTTCTTCTTGGCGGCTCAAGAGTGGCAGACAAACCGTGTATACTACTTTGGCACACGTCGCTGGTCGGCGTATGCGATCTGGCGGTTTCGAGAGTACAATGAACTCCCGCATGTTCTCGATGCACGTATGGCACGCTCGTATGCGCTGGCGGACCGTTACTTGGGCATGTTCCCGACCGGTTCGTTGGCCATTATTGCGGGCGGCATCTCCTTTTGCGCAAGCTCGATCATGGCTGTTCTCGTTCTCGTAAGTCTCTTGGAAGAATCTGTGCTACTGCAGACGACGCTCTTTGGCCACGAGCTGTTGTGGTACCTGACAATCTCAGCGGGCGTCTTTGCGCTGTCACGATCGTTCACGTCTTCTACTTCGCCCTTTTTGGTCAACGGTGACTGCGAAGAAGCAATGATGCAAGTTTCTGCAGAGACACACTACTTTCCAAAGGAGTGGAGAGGCAAGTGTCACTCGTTCGAGGTGCGAGATGCGTTCACGGTGCTTTTCCCGTTCAAGGCCGTACTCTTTGCTGAAGAGTGTCTCTCCGTTTTGTTGGCTCCGTACATCTTGTGTGTGTCGCTGCCCCGGCTTGCTCGCGAGATCTTGCTGTTCTTGCGGTCGCACTCTCTTGTGCACCCTAGTACCAGAGCTGTGTGCCGATTCGCAGAATTCGACTTCAAAGAATATGGCAACGATGCTAAGATGGAGAGTTCGTTCATCAACTTCAAGCAGAACCACCCGAAGTGGGTTGGTGCTCGCGAAGGCGAAGCGCTCATGCATCGCTTGGGGAAGCTGAGGGAGGAAGAAATGGAGAAGTCGATGCGGATGGGTGACACCATGATGTACAGTAGCCACACACTGTCAATGTCGCAGCAGCTTATGCAGTCTCAGGCCATTCAGAACGCGATGGGTGGCGACCGTATGAGCGGCTACGTGCCTCAGGACAACGAGTTTTACTGGCTGGAAAAGGTATGACCGTTTGTTGACTTCGATTGTGGTGGCGGCTCGATCAGCGTTCTCACATCTTTTGTTGTTAGCTTCACCAGCAAGGTCGAATGGGCGAACTGGATCTGGAGGGTATGCAGAGCAACCCTGCTGACAGCATTTCCGCTTCGAGTCTTGGGTCTCCGTGATAGAAGTGGCAACTGCTTGTTCGTTGGTTTCGTCTTACGATAATGCATCCGCAATCATGCTTTCTCCTTGACAGAATTGGGACAGTTGTGTCGATAACACCGCCAGCTATCCATCATACATGACTTACAAGCATTGCAGCAATGTGTTAAACAAGCGATACCGAACTGCGGTTGTTGGACCGAGAGGATGGTTCGTGTCAGGTGGCAACGATACGGAGTATGACTTGATGCACCAATGGAAGGCGTTGGGAGTCTGCAGTAGCGCAGCCATACGCTTTTTCAACAATGTCTTGGAGCTGGTGCTTTTGCTGAGATCGCACGGGGGAATGCCGTGCAAGAAGTATTCCTGTGACAAGAAATGATTAGCCACGTAGGTTCTGCTTTGCTAATGAATGGGGCCGTTTACTCACCGCGTCCGTGCCATACACGATTACGTTCAGGGTATCGTGTCCTTCTTGGATCGTCAGAGCGAACGAATAAATGAACCCGTTGTTCTTGCCAGGCTTTGGTTTGCAGATCTTGTCGATAGCAGATGGCCACATACTGCGAGCACGAGCACAGCAATGAAACTTCCGCGGAGTGTGTGGCGAGCTGATGATCTCTCGCACCGGAGTCGCCGGAACGTTCCTGTGGACATAATCAGGGATCACCGTGGTAACTTCAACTGGACTATCTGTTGCAAAGCTTTGACGTTCACTGGAGAGACGTCGCTCACGAGGGGCAAGCACACGAGATCGACAACCGCCTGCTTTCGTTTCAGCCTTATCGACTAGCGAAAGACGGTACTGGACGTCAGGCATGAACTCAGGCATCAGCACAAATGACGTCACCTCGCGAAACCGCAGGACCTCTCTTGACCTCGTCGTGGTAGCAGCCCCGGGAATGGGTTCGTCGATTCCCACCGCTAGATTGCGGAAACGACACCAGTGTGTGAGCATTCCGTCGTCGAACCCGATATCACGCAGGACAGACCAGCAAGACGACATGATCACTTCCTTCAAGATGCCGCTGGCTGGCACAGCAGTGCCGTTGTCCCGCAACGCACGCACTAGAGTTGAGTCTGACTCGGCTACGTTGCCTGAACCGTCCCACACAATGAGTCGAGTCGGCTCCGTCGTGTCATCCAGGTGCAACACGCGCACAACCAGGTCGATAAAGTCTTCTGCGACTTTCAGCTCGGTGAGGAGCTTCGGTGCCTGTGGACATCCTGGAGGCAACGAGACGTCCTTGGCTAACACCTTCTTGGCCCATTGTCTTTGATCGCAACATCGCAGGTGAACAAAGCTCCACAGTATCTCTGAACAATGCGAAAGGCAGCTTCACAATGAACTTACATCAGTTGGCGGGTACGCTCTTCGTCAGAAGGCTCAAAGGTCCATGTCTCCGAGCAAGTGAGCTGCTCGAGTTTTCGGTCATCGGTCTCTCGGAGAACAAGATATCGAGTCGCGCGTGGTCTGCAGGATCAATGGTGCAATGTGAGTGCCCATTGCCGCAGACGGATTTTGTCAAACCTGTTACCAACAACAGCGGTGTACTCACACGCTGAGACCTTGGATATTGCCCTGATACTCTTGAATCTTGACCTTGTGGAAACGAATGATGTCTCCGACATACTATGACAAAGAATCCAAAGGACGTTGTCATCTACAACGACCCGAGATGTATGCGCGGTGGTGGCTTACCTTAATTTTAGGCATCTGCGCAATTGTGGGCCAGAAGACATTGATCTGGATAGCTTGAGCGCGTGTAGGACAACTCTCGTCCATCACGCTTATAGTCATCTGCGCGAGGGTGAAGCTAGAGTCAGTGGCGATACTTCAACACATGACATCCACACAGCAGCGTAGCCATTCATCGAATCGCCAAACACAGCTACTCACGACGAAATCGCGTCCGCTGGTTTTCTTGGGAAGTGTCACGTTCGCGACAACGCCGTAGATGTCAGCGTACCCAGATACCAACTCAGCCAAGGATGTGTACCGGTACGCTGGCGATGTTGCCTTGGCTTTGTCAAGCGTGCGTTTTCCACGGTTGAATGTCTATTCATTGTACACGAAATACATGATCCCGTAAATCGCTAGTTGGAAACGCGCCTCTGACACCTGCCTTTTCCGGTAATGCCTGCACTGTTTGAGTCCGAGTCTGCTCTGCGGGTGTTCCTGTATCACAACCGCATCACGTCAGCCACTTTAACTTGACTTTGCATCCCGAGTGTCGATTGACAAACCCGTGTGCAAGTCTCGAGTGGCTATCGTCTGAGGCGAGCGATACCGCAGCTGATCCGAACGGGGCAGACGTTGAGGTTCTTCATACGTCACTTCAACGTCCAGCCGATGTGGAAACGTAAACAGCTGCGGTCGTCGGTCCAGTGTCATTTTCAACACGTGTTTTTCTGCAACCACGAGGCACTGGACACGCTCTTCCGTCTCCACGCCAGCTTCCCACTCCAACATTACCAGTCCGCGTCCACGAATTTGCACCTTGTACTGCACACGTCAGGAAGAAAACAACAACAACACAGCGGATTAAGTATTGTTGCGCTCGTCCCTCATGCTACTTCGTCTTTTTCTTCGTGTCCGAAGGGAACTTCGCTTTGACACTTGCATGATGCTTCAGGAACTGCATCTTGGTCGCCCATTTGTCGTAGAAAAAGACAAGGCATGTCCTGAATGTCGTGCGTGATCAATCAAGACAAAAGGTTAAGGACAACTTTGAATATCACCCGCATACATGACACATCAATCGAGGCGGCTCTTATATAAGACAGGAACATCTTGCCACAGTCTCATATAAGACAGTGGTAACTCGTCGTAGTCTCATATAAGACAGAACATTCAATCATGATCATCATCAAAAGGATATGGTTCTCTACAACGACTGCCATCACGTGCGACGCGTCCTGTCCGCATGGCCCGGCGCCGGGACCAAACGTGTCCGAGGCTGCGGTGCTGCGAGACGTATCACTATGCAGTGACTGCAATCGATACGCGCGCGTCACTGTGCCAAGAACGACTCGTTCGCTGCCGACTTGCTCCATTGTTTTAGTTCCGCTGAGATGCTTATTAGGACTCAGCGACTGCAGATACTACTAAATCGCTGGTATCTCGTGACTAATTCGCTGCTCGTGTCCGTTGTCAAAGCATCACGCGCTAAAACTTGTCCGACACAACCTCAAGTCGTGACAGGCGTCTTAACATGTTCACGAAGGCCTAAACACTACACACCATCATCACAAAGCAAATGTCGCTTTCATCTCACAGTTAACAGCAACATGTGAGCTGTCATTTACAGCGCATGCGTTTGTAGCTTGTCACCTGAAGACGCATGGGGCACTTCTTCGCACCATGTGCGTGATAAAGCGTCAGAAATGTGAACAGGAAGCAGTCCGTGAGCGCTGTCCACGTCGTTGAAAAACATCCGATCCTTTTCGGACCGATGACTATCCGAGCACACACATCATCATCATCTTCCAGCGTGCCCAAGTGCTCAGAGCAGCCACTTTGACGACGGCCGCGTCGTCGATGCAAAAGGTTGTACATTACCAGTGGCCATATCGTGTTACATGTTGCTGCCAAGATGCTGCTGTCGACAAAGGTTCTGGTGATTGCTACTTACTTGGATATGACGGTAGTGCCCATACAGACAAGCACACTTTTCAAGGTAACGACTTTTGATCGTCGGTCGTGCACGTGATGTCGGGCTCTGCTTACAGTACCTGCTACGCCTGCCCATTTCATCGCAAAAATTCTGTCTGGTGTCCACTCGCTAGCGTATCGCGTATGCGTAGTGGTCGATCGCTCGACCTTCGTCTCTCGATCTCATGTTGTCGCAAGTTTATCGCAAGCATCAGCTCGGAACACGATCGAATTTGTTTGCGGCACACTGCAGATGCGATTCGTAGACACTAGTCATCAGCCACCTTCCCGCCCTTACCCCCCACTGCCGTCGTGCTCATGCAGAGAAGACACGAATGTCATCCGGCTTTATCGTTGCAGCATCTTCCTGTCGAGATGAACGAATGGATGTGCTGGATGAGGTCCGTCGGCTCTTTGTATCATAGACATGTACAAATGACGTCGTACGTGCCGTTTTCCATTGAGCAAACGAACTCGGGAGACTTCGTGGGCAATCGTTGCGGCGCCAGCCGTTGGTGCGACACGTTGTCGTATGCTTCGAGTAAGAGTGCGATGGTATCTGAGAAAGTGCGTTCGTTACAAGTCAACGAGGAGGGAGCGCATAGATGGAGGGCACGAGAATCGCCGTAGAGGAGAGCGGGACGATCGATCGATTGCGAGGGTTATTGCATGCAGTGCGTGCAATGAATGACACGTGTGTACAGCCGAATCGTGATAGAGCTGTAGGAACCGACAGTCGTATCGGGCGATCGCACACACTGATCATCGTGTCGTCGTCGCCCATGTCCAGCTTTATGTGGCGAAGATGTGAACTCCGGCGACAAGTGCTTTTGTCGATGCAATGCGCGTGACGACAGACTGCAGCAGATGCCTAAAGTCGTACGTGGCATGTCTTCCGCAAGGTGCTCATCGTCTTGTCGATGTTTGACTCTAGTCGGTGATATTCCGTTGTGTTTTCTAGACATTCGACCACGAGAGAGCGATTTCGATTTGTACCGAAACCTGATGTCCACGTGTGTTATGTGTGTCACAATTCTGAACATCACAGTCGATTAGTCACTTGATTCACTCATCGACAAACTGTCGTCCAGTCGATCTTCGACCCCACACACAACAGACGTTTTCACAGAAAGCATATGAGTCGATCTTTTATTCACACATGAATGAGGGTACAAAAACACGGATCCTCTAGCGACGACGACGCTCGGCGTACTCGGCCTGGATCTCCTCGTTCGTCTTGCCGGCCGTCTCGGGCACGAGCTTGAGCGACATGACGTAGAAGAGCGCGAGCAGCACCGTGAACGGCGCGTAGCTCCAGTCGCCCAGGCCGTCCGTCAAGTACGGGTACCCGATGCCCACCACGAGGTTGCACAGCCAGTTGGCGCCAATGCAGATGGACGACGCACTCGCGCGCACCGAGTCGGGGAACATGTCGGCCGTCATGACCCACACCAGCGGCCCGAGCGTGACGCCGAACACGATCACGTACAGAGCCGTAAACACGATCGAGAGCGCCGACACGTCTGCGAGGAAGGCCACGGTCATGCCCATGGACATGGCGACCATACCCACGATGCCCCAGAGGATCATGCTGCGGTTGCCGAAGCGCGCCGCGAGCATGCCCGTGAAGAAGGCCGGCCAGATGTTGATAAAGTCGATGATGAGCGTGCCCACGCGCGAGTCCGAGATGCCCGCGTCCGCGAAGATGCTGCCCGAGTAGTAGAACACGGCGTTGATGCCCGAGAGCTGCTGCGTGCACGACAGCAGGAGCGCGCCGAGGAACTGCATGCGGTACTTGGGCGACCACACCGACTCGACGGGCTCGGCGGCGTGGCCGGCCTCGGCGACGCTCGACTGCTTCTTGGGCTCGAGCCAGTTGAGCGCTGTCTGCACGTGCTCTTCGCCGTAGAGACGCGTGATGACCTGCCGCGCCTCCTCGCGGCGGCCTTTCATCAATAGCCACGCAGGACTCTCGACGGCCAGCGACGGCGACAGGAGCATGTAGATGCCGGCCAAGACCACCGGGAAGCCGGCCATGTAGCGCCAGCCGTCGCCGGTGTTGGCAAAGAAGAAGCAGATGGCTGGGACCAGGATGCCGATCGTCGTGGAGATCTGCAGCCCCGTGCCCAAGTGGCTGCGCAGGTGCGGCGGCGACAGCTCGTTCACGTACGACCCGATCGTGCCCGTGGCCACGCCGGACGCGATGCCAGCGACGAAGCGGCCCACGGCAAAGACCCAAATGCCCGGGGCCACCGCCTGGACCACCGCGCCGCCAATCATGAAGCAGCAGTTGAAGAACAGCAGCTTCTTGCGCCCGAGCAGGTCGCTGAAGTGGCCGCTCAGGAGACTGCCGACCATGGCGCCGAAGATCCACGCGTTGACGGCGAACGTCCACTCGAGCTTCGAGTGGCCGCTGAAGAGCGTGCACGTGCCAGGGACGACGGGGCGCGCATTGCACGCGTCCGTGTCGTTGTAGTCCGAGAGGTTGAGCTGCGACGTGGACCAGCCGCTCTGGAACGGCTGCAGGAGCGCGAGCAGGACGCTCGTGTAGAGGATGCGGTTGGGCTTGATCTTGAGCGCAGCGCTCTTGTTGAAGTCGTCAAACGAGACGTCGGCGTGCGTGGGCGTGTGGACTTTGCTGTAGACGTCGTCCGAGCGAGGCGTCATGGCGGAGGCGAGCGGTGTGTGTGTGTGTGTGTGGCAACCAGTGAGCGGGTGTAGGAAAGGCACTTGTGCGGTACGCGCTCAAATGGAAACTGAGGACAGAGGAGAGAGGCCGAGCGAGCGAGTGGTGGGGTTTGTTTGTTACTTCAGTTGTAGCAGCAATATCATGTCTTGTTTCCCTTTCTCGCTTCGAAGTTGCACGTGTTGTTGTTGCACTTGTTGAAGTTGGTGGGGTCGACGTCGCGATGTCGCGACAGAGATCATGCAGAAGACGGCGTTGGTGCTTCGAAAGTCGGTGAAAGTCGGACCGGCACCGTACGCTCGCTCGAACAAGCGGCTGCTTCGTTTCTGTGCACGCAAAGTTGCAGTTGGCCGCAATAGGGAAGGAATGGTCCATGTATTGAGCGAACATGTCTAGTTGATTTATTTCACATAGACAGAGCAGTCGTGACCGGAGCTGGCTGATCCAACACAGCAATTCCAGGCACTTCCTTGCAGGCCTGTCGCCTACTGATGTTCGAGCCGGCTGGCTCGTTTCTACTACTGAATTTTTCTCTCTCTCGGTCCAATATTTCGTAAAGCAGTCGAGACAATCGCGTGACCGAAGTCCATACGCATCTCGCGCCGTCGCGGTACCTTCCCCTCTTCCGACTTACTTCAAGTCCATGACTGTGACCAATGCAGTGGGTGAAACAGATCTGGGGTGACTGCGCCTGCGGCTAGGTTGGCAGGAGTCAGTGGACGAACGGCAACGTCGCAGACCAACGTCGCAGAGCAAGCAGCGCATACTGGATCCCCGGCGCGTGTCCCGCCTACGTCGTTCTGACCGTGCACACGATCGTGCTGCATTGCCGAGACCGAAACCGAATCAACCGTTGCATCTTTCGGCCAAGCAGCAACGGGCTCACGGGAAAAACACCCGCGGGCATTGCACATGGTTCAGCTACCGAAGCAGACGCGCGAAAAGACACAAAAAAGAGCTTTTCGGAATAGGATTGCCCGCTTCGATGGGAGCGCTTTTCTTGTAACTAACTGCATGTCCGTGCCCCTAACCATCGTAACAGACGCAGGGCTGATACTTCAAGGTGGTTTTGCGCACTCCGTGACCGGACGTTGCCAGCCGAGACAAAGCGTCCGTCCTGCACCGAGACAAAGACAGGACGAAATAGATTTATTCTGCATAGATGAGCCCGACAGACCAACTTTGCCGCCGGCCTTTCCGACCAACGGTTGCAGCGCATCTTCAGCTTCGTCGACCCCATTGCTGCCGATAGCTTCTTCTTGATCGCTCGCTCGTTTGCTGACTGTCCAGGCACGTGGCGCAAACCGAGACGAGCAAGCGGTCCGAAAAAAATGAGGTACACTGACGCGCACACACCGGGCAACCGTATGCTTCCAGAAAGAGAGAGCACCGGAAAGATACTTCAGCTCGCCCTCGAGGGTCTTCCGCGGTTCTAATTCCCCGCGTAATCTGCCAAAACTGCACTTGAAGTTCCGTTTCCACCACCCGTTCCTGTATCAGGTGACCGAAGGCTCCCCTTGTCCGGCCACCTCTCCACCTCTCCACCTCTCCACCTCTCCACCTCCACCTCGACCTGGTCCAACTGCTGCTGCAACTGCTCCACCTCCACCCACCGCCACCAGCGCCTCTACCGTCGACCTCACAAGTGCATTTCCTCCGTCCCGTCGCCATCCTCCACGAGACACGCGCACACGTACGTCATGACGCCCCAGTCCGACGAGGTCTACAACAAAGCGCAGACCAACGCCGACGTCTCGTTCGATGACATCAACAAGAGCGCTGCGCTCAAGATCAAGCCCAACCGCATCCTCTACACGAGCGTCCTGCTCGCGCTCCTGCAGCCGTTCCAGAGCGGCTGGTCCACGTCGCAGCTCAACCTCTCGGACTACAACGACACGGACGCGTGCAATGCGCGCCCCGTCGTCCCTGGCACGTGCACGCTCTTCAGCGGCCACTCGAAGCTCGAGTGGACGTTCGCCGTCAACGCGTGGATCTTCGGCGCCATGGTCGGCAGTCTCCTGAGCGGCCACTTCAGCGACCTGCTCGGGCGCAAGAAGCTGCTGTTCTTCAACTGCTGCTTCATGATTGGCGGCGCGGTGGTCCAGGCGGTGGCCCCGGGCATTTGGGTCTTTGCCGTGGGCCGCTTCGTCGCTGGCATCGCGTCCGGCGTGGCCACGGGCACGATCGGGTCGTACGTGAACGAGCTGTCGCCGCCGCACCTGCGCAGCCACTTGGGCACGGGGCTGCAGATCTCCACGACGATCGGCATCCTGGTCCCAGCCATCTGCTTCTTCTTTGCCAACACCGGCGACGGCTGGCGCTACATGGCCGGCTTCCCGGTGGTCTTGGCCGGCATCTACATGCTCCTGTCGCCGTCGCTGGCCGTCGAGAGTCCTGCGTGGCTATTGATGAAAGGCCGCCGCGAGGAGGCGCGGCAGGTCATCACGCGTCTCTACGGCGAAGAGCACGTGCAGACAGCGCTCAACTGGCTCGAGCCCAAGAAGCAGTCGAGCGTCGCCGAGGCCGGCCACGCCGCCGAGCCCGTCGAGTCGGTGTGGTCGCCCAAGTACCGCATGCAGTTCCTCGGCGCGCTCCTGCTGTCGTGCACGCAGCAGCTCTCGGGCATCAACGCCGTGTTCTACTACTCGGGCAGCATCTTCGCGGACGCGGGCATCTCGGACTCGCGCGTGGGCACGCTCATCATCGACTTTATCAACATCTGGCCGGCCTTCTTCACGGGCATGCTCGCGGCGCGCTTCGGCAACCGCAGCATGATCCTCTGGGGCATCGTGGGTATGGTCGCCATGTCCATGGGCATGACCGTGGCCTTCCTCGCAGACGTGTCGGCGCTCTCGATCGTGTTTACGGCTCTGTACGTGATCGTGTTCGGCGTCACGCTCGGGCCGCTGGTGTGGGTCATGACGGCCGACATGTTCCCCGACTCGGTGCGCGCGAGTGCGTCGTCCATCTGCATTGGCGCCAACTGGCTGTGCAACCTCGTGGTGGGCATCGGGTACCCGTACTTGACGGACGGCCTGGGCGACTGGAGCTACGCGCCGTTCACGGTGCTGCTCGCGCTCTTCTACGTCATGTCGCTCAAGCTCGTGCCCGAGACGGCCGGCAAGACGAACGAGGAGATCCAGGCCGAGTACGCCGAGCGTCGTCGTCGCTAGATAGACGTGAGAAACTCAATCATCTAAAGCGAATACAAAGTTATGAACCCCTGACGTACGTGTGTGTTTGGTGGTGGTCGGTTTACGTTGATGAGAGGTTTGCTTGAGCAACAGGTGGTCGCAATGAGGCAAACAGGTCCAGCACGTGCTGGAGCTCACGTTCCTGGCTTGGATCCGACAGGAGCTCGAGCACGTACGACGAGCCAGCGAGCTGTCGAACCACTTGTGTAGCCATTGCCACGAGGTGCGTCTTCTGTGTCTCGTGGCAGTGGCGAACATACGCCAAGAGGTGGCGCAGGACGTAGAGCAGACAGCGAAAAGCACTGGTAGTGAGCGGTCCTCTGGGCAGAGCGACGAAGAGAGTGAGCAGATTGTCTTGCAGCGCCGTGAACTTCTCCAACAAGTAACGAGCGAACGCGTGGACATCGTCGCTGGACGCGGCAGCATCTCGGTCGAGGGCAATCAGCACCGTACGTTTCGTCTCGCTCGTGACTGTCTCGAGCACAGTCTTCACCACTGCCTGAACTGCTCCTTCCACGTGTGCAGCATAGCCTCGTCGATCGAGCTCGTCCAGCACTTGTGCCAAACTGCGCGCTTGCAGACTCGAGTACGGATCGTAATAGCTTGAAACAGCCACGCGGACATTCTCGAGCAACACGTGACGAAGTTGGTAAAGGATCGGACCGTCAACGTGGCCGCCATTTGTGTCGTCGCTCGCCTTCGACACGTGTCGGTGCAAAGCGCGATACCAAGCAAAGTCGTCGAGAGACCAGCACTTTGCCAGCTCTGACGGTGCGTCTGCCACACCCAGTGGATCCCAGTACAGCAATTCTGCCTGCACGTACGGAGCAAAAAGCTTCTCTTGCGCCAACTCGCAGAACACGTCCTCGTAGACTTGGGCAAACTTTGCTTTCCACTCTTGGAACCGTCCACAAACGTGCTCGAGCGAGCTGAATTCATCGATTGCATCTGCAAACAAATCGTCCTCCATATGGCGTTCGTCCGTCACGTACGACTCATTGAAGTGCGCTTGGTAGCTCTTTCGCAAGCGAGTGGCACGCGCCGAGTCCTGCATAGACGACGCAGCACTGACGCCTGCACTAGATTGCACATCCGACTGATTCAGCCCCATGATGTCGCCCGCCTCAAGGTTCCCAGAGCCAATGTACCGCTTGATCGCCTCGGCGACATCGTACTGCTCTTCCTTTCGCTTGTCTTGCACTCGGCAAATGCGACTCTGGACGACTCGATTCCGCGTTGCTTCAATGATGGGCACTTTTGCACGCAAGCAAGAGCTCAATCCCTCTACAAAGTCTCCCACGTCCTGGAAGTACTCAAACTCTTCGCTGCTGGTGCGCAACTCTTCTTGCTGCTGCACGAGCGCTGTCTCAATCAGAGCTGTCTCGGCTTCGAGTCGAGCTAGCTCGCGCGAAGCTCGTTCACGTTCAAGCAATGTCGACTCTGCGCTCTTTTCCAATTTTCCAAGCACGGTTCCCAGTGATACACAGGTCACTTTCTTCCTCGTTGGATAGATCGGCTGACCGTCGCTCAAGCGACTACCACTTGGATCATCTGATGGCCTGGACACACGCTGCCCCGCACGACGCATCAGTTCTTCCTCCCATCTCCTGCTTTGTTCCTCCTCTTCCTCTCCTCCATCCGATACTTCGTCCATTACTTCGGCCGTCTCACTGCGACTCGAGTCTTGCAACTGTGTGCCAAACGTCACACTCTTTCGTGTCCGTGTCGTCTTTGTGCGTCCATCGAGAGCAATAAACTCCTCCTCTTCTCGGTCTTGCACACTGCTCGCTCCCGTTTCACTCGAGTCTTGCGACTGCGCGCCAAACGTCACACTCTTTCGTGTCCGGTTCGTCTTTGTGCGTCCATCGAGAGCAATAAACTCCTCCTCTTCTCGGCCATGCACACTGCTCGCTTCCCTCTCTTCGTTCCCTTTTTCCACTTCCACGATCACGTCCATCTCTGCATGTCTCGACAGCAGCACGCTCTGCTCGCTCTTTAGCGTCGCAAGCATCTCGGCTGAATAGCAGCCACTTTTTCTCGTCTCTAGCTTCACGTCTCGTGTACTATACACCACGATATTCGGTCGCATCTTCCTCTTTTTCGTCGACGTCGTCGTCGCCATTGACTCTGCCGTCTCTTCGCCATCCTCGAAACTCAGCCGCGTCGATGCATCCGATTGCTGCGACTGAGCATAAACTCCATCGCGAGAGCTGCTGCCACTGGACTTGACGCTGGCGCTCTTGGAACTAAACGTCATGACGCTCTTGACAGGTCGAGCGCGACGGTTCCAACGTAGCTGCTCCAGCCCCTGGAGGTCGTGCCCAGCCGCCTCAGCGTCGCTGGCTACAGGAAGAGCATCATCTGGTACACCCGCTATCTCTACAGAAGCAGACGGACCGTCCGCGTCGCCCCCGACCTCGACGTCGCGACGTTTCTTGCGACTCGCGCCACCGCTCTTGATCTTGCTCCGGAACATTTGGTGGGTCGTCACGGATTGTCGCACGAGTGTGCGCTTTTGTGTTTGTTTGTGTGCGTGTGTGACTGCAGTCGACAAGAGCGTAGGGGCGTAAAAGCACGCTCTACAGTTTAAGAGCGGTGTCGACACTAGGTACGCACCATCCATCCATCGTATCCAAGGACCGGACTTGGGAATCCGTCAACCGATCGGACATGGACTCGCTCAAGAGCATGTTCTTCCGCAGCGGCGACGCGACCCGACCCAAAGTACGACTGCGTCGCCTCTTGTGTATCGTTCCTCCTCGTCTTCTTCTCCTCCTTCTCCTTCTCCTGCCTCTCTTCCTCATGCAACTGTTTGCGCTCTGTGTGTCTTTGTGTGTCTCTTGTAGGCGGTCAAGTGGCTGGGCATGGGTCGACCGACGGCCGGCAAGAGCGACCAGATGTTTATCAGTGCCGAAGCAGCTGAGCAAGTTTTCGAGCCCCTGGGCGAGACGCTCATCAATCTCATTTCGATCTTTGGAGCAGCGAGACAGGGCAAATCGTTTCTAATGAACCTGCTGGCCGACCAGCAAGATCTGTTCAAGATCTCGAACCTGCGCGAGCCGTGCACACAAGGCGTGGATCTATCAGGTCATTTGGTACCGCTGAGCACTTTCAGTGGCTTTAACGGCTGCCCACCCGTGGTCTCGAGAGCCAGCAGAGATATTCGCATTGGCTTTGTCGATGCAGAAGGTCAGGGCGATCGAGACATTACGTACGACTCGAGGCTCGTGTCGCCGGTGCTGCTTGCGTCCAAAGTGGTGATTTTCAATTGGAAAGATAGTCTGCAAGCAGACCGCATGTTGAACTTGTTGGCTGTGCTAGCACGTGCAGCGCAGGGCATTGAGCTAGCGGACGGAGCGAACACAAAAGTGTTTGGACATTTGCATCTGTACGTGATGTGTTGTTGTTTGCTTGTTGTGTGCTATGTGGGAGCGAGTAAGACTAGTGGTTGATGATGTGATGAACGTGGGCGGGTCTATGTTTATGTGCGTAGAGTGTTTCGGGACTGGAGCTTTGTGGGCTCGACGCCAGAGGAGGTGTATCGAGACTTGTTCCAGAAAGAAAAGGGGCGGAGCGAAGAGGTGAACGTGCGAAACCTGGCCCGCGTAAATCTGATTGAGGCATTCGAGTCGATCAACATTTGGCTCTTCCCGGCACCTGTGGCCAACACCGCGAACTTGAAAGACAAGATCCGCTTCGATATGCTGCAGAAACCGTTCCAGGACAAGCTTCGTGAGCTACGCAAGTGCTTGTCGAGTCAGCTGCAGCACCCTATGAAGTTCTATGAACGTCCGTTGACGGCAAAGTATCTCTCGCAGATTATGCCGGCGCTAGTAGATACTTTGAACAGTGACCAAGTGATCATGCCCGAGTCGATTTATTCGTCAATGGTACGCGCGGAGGCCCACGCAGCAAAACATTGCTGTGAAAAGGATATTTCAGCGTACTGTGAAGCTGCTGGACTCGAAGAAGTGATATCTAGTGATGAGTTCGACAAGATGCTGCATACGGATGTTGAGATGATTATTCTGGAAGCTTACGAAAAAATGAACAGCTTTCCGGCTGCAGTGCGCAAGGAGGTTCAGACTTCTCTTCGTGCATTTGCCGAGAAAGAAATTACGATTGCACTTCACACAAACAGCGAGAAGATCGCACAGCTTTTTGCCAAGGAAGTGGATGCTGCTTTTCAATCATTGAAACGAGAGTGTCAAGTGATTGAAAAGACCAAACTTCCAATGAAGAGCGCACTGTTGCGTCAGAAGTGCACGGAGATGCTCAACCGTGAGTTGACACGCATCAAAGCCCTTCCCATGGGCTTACAGGGAGCGCGCGGAGTCGAGGTCGAGTGCGGCCGTGTTGAACAAAATGCCAGTCTTCTGTTTGATAAGTTGGAGGTGGCGAACGACAAGGCTATTCAGCAATCTACCGCCGCGATGAACAACGTGGTACGTGCAGCCAAAGCGCGGATGAGCTCTGAGCTGCACAACAACCTTGACAAACGGTTCGAAGAGAAGCGCCCTGTGACGGTGACTAAGCTGCAAAGTGAGGTGGAGATCATTTTTGCTAAGGTGATGAAAGAAGTGGCACAGAAAGCTGGCGACATTGGCGAATTTGGCGTATCCGACTTGCATGCCGATCTTGAGCACCACAAGGCCCAGTTGGCGGACGAGATGAATCGACGGTACATAATCGAAATGCGTCAGATTCTGAACGAGATCAGCTATGCGGCTCGGGAGGACTTGGGGAACCAAGTTACGTACCGTCTTGACGGCAAGTTGCCGATGCTGGAAGAAGACATCAAGGCTGCCGTCGATAGTGCAGTTGCACACGTTAAAGGCACCATGGCTGACAAGCTTCAAGGGTGGACAATTCTCAAGAGCGATCTTGAGACGAAGAGCGTCGAGCTGGAGGAACTTGGTGATGACGTAAGTGACACGCTTTTCAATCTTGGTAGCTGAGTCCTTATTTGTGGCGTTCGTATCGGTGTGTGTTGTAGTTCACAGATAAGTACCTGCATCGCAATCAGCAACTGGAGAAAGATGCTGGTGTCCGCAAGGAAACTGAGCAGTACGAGAAGCTGCGAGTCGATGTGACCAAGGCGTTCGAGCTGAAGCTCAAGGAGGTTGGTTTTCCAACAATGGACGATGAAATCGACTCGAAGTTTCGTTCTGTCCTACAAGACCATGCTGCCAAGTTCTTGTCAAGTATAGCGGATCGCGATGCCACCAAGTTCACTGCGAAGAGCCTCCGTGAGATCCTTACGAGCGATTGCAAACCAGCTGTGGACAACCAAAAGATGCTCAACCGGTGTGTGGTTCGACATGCGTTATCTTCGTACGGAGCTGGCGTCTAACTTGTGTTGTGGTGTGTCCAGACTTGCAATCGAAAGGAAGGAAGCATTGGATATAGCAGAGAAAGAGAGGCGCATGCGCGAGCGAGAGCGGTTAGCTGCGGTGCAGAAGGAAGAAGAAATCAACCGCCTGAAGAGCGACCACTCCAAGTGGCTTGGTGAACGAGAAGACGAGTCGAAGCGTCTTCGTGACAAGCTGCAAGAAGAGGAGCGCAAAGCTCGTGAGCTGCAGCAGCGTGTAGAAGAGATGAAGCTACAAACTGCTCGGATGGAAAGACAGAAACAGGAGGAGCAACTCCAGTCGATAGAGAAGTCTCGTCGCGAAACGAGGGTGAAGGAGGAAGAGAAAGCGCGACTGCAGCTTGAGTTGGACGAAATGAAGCACAAGGCTGCTGAAGTGGAGTCGCAGAAGCGTGAGCTTGAGGCGCAAGTCACGTCTGAGGCGAAGAAGAAAGATGAAGCTGAAGAGTTGAGACAGCAGCTGGAGGAAATGAAGCGTACTATTGCGCAAAAGGAGCAAGAACGCGTAAGCATGGAGTTGCAGATTCAACAAGAGAAGGCGTCACGTGAGCAAGCGGAATTCGCTGCACAGCAAGCAGCGAACGCAGCAGAAGTAGCAGCCCGGGCCGCAATTGAAGCTGGTCGACGCCAACCAGCTCCTGCTCTTGCCAACACGGAGGAAACTGGACGTAAGAGACCTTTCGCCAGCAGTGAATCGGACGATGTCGAGATGGAAGACGTGTCTCCGTCGCGGCTGCGCACCGCTGGCCGTGCTGCCAGTGAGTGTGCTTCTCGACGTGTCAAGTGTCTAATGTTTTGCTGATCGTGTGTGCGTATCTTGTTGTATGCAGCATCCAAGTCATCTCCAGCTGCCAAGAAGCCTCGCGGGCCAAACAAGGCGAGAAGTGCTGCTCACGCAAAGGGGGGCAAGCAGAAAATGTCATTAGCGGAAGCGCGCAAGGCCGCTCAGGAAGAGGTGGAGAAACGGATCCAGGACCGGGCTAAGCTACTTTCGTCGTCAAAGAAGAAGAAATAGGGATGGCGTCGGAGTAGAAGGCAATCAAGTACCAAGGAGGAGATACTAAAATTGCACCCGTCTTATCTTCAACTACTCCTTGGATACCTTTGTGTCAAAAGTGAAGGATGTTGGTAGGCCACGGATCCGAACACACCGTCAATTTGGATTCTCGGATCCCGTCATTTGGACCAGGAACTTTCTAGCTACTTGGACATAAAATACAACTTTATCGGCTGCATGAGCGCGTTTGATTGGTCAATCTCATTACCATATTTGCGCAAAGCAAGAAACGGCGGCCAAAACGTTGTAACATTACGCTTCCTATCCTTAGAAAAAACAACTGAGCAGCTGCAGAAGTGCATTCGGCCAGTTTCGACGTGATATTACATGCAGAAGTCCATTCGGCTATACTCGTCATGTTAAGCTGAAAATAGCCGAATGTGCATCGATCGAAAATTGGTAAATTGCAAAAGTAGAATTTGTGCGTAGCCGTATTAACCTCCTACGAAACCGCTGACAGGGTCACCCCATTTCAGAACAGTCGATAGACGAAAGAGCATTTCAGACCATCCACAGCCTGTTGTATAACGGGGTGACCCCGTCACGTGACATCGACATGCGTCTGAATATCAATGTGAGTAGTTTCGTAGCAGGTAATTTCTACAAACGTTACATAAGCGACAGCGAGTGTGCAATGTTACCTTAGTGATCGGTTTGTATCACATTATCATGAATGATTGCACTCGGTCGTACTTTTGGCAATACACTAGTTGGCTGCTACAACCCGTGCCGTCAGCCAGCATGATTACCGTTTTATGCTGAGCCGCGCAACAAGCGATGAGCAAGAAGTCAACACATACAATTTAGTTTAGTATAGCTAAATAAGGGCTTACAACGATTGATATGTGGACAAACTAGACTAAATGTAATGGGGTCACCCCGTTTACATGATATTGACATTGGTAAATGTCAATGCGAATATTATGTCCAAAAATAATATTCTTCATTTTGTGCTATAAAAACAAAGGATTCAGCGACTTCAGCTCATTTGTTGATATCGACCATTGTAAGAATGTAGTCGTAGCTGCAGTTGTGCAAGACTTGAAGGGGATAGAAGTAAAATGTGTTCAGTGTTAGCCATTGTCATTCGCCGATACTACGATATGTATCGACAACGGCACTACAACTGGACTGTGTCAAGCTGAACCTCGTGTCCGTCTCTCCCGTCCCGTGTGTCGACCTATCACATGGCATATGTACCTAATTATCTCATCTGTCAAGATGTTAATGAACAGATAATAAGCTGGGATCGGAACTTACCTATAACAAGTCCTGCACCTGAGCTGTAAAAGCCTCATGAACTGTCAGAAACAGTATCTTTTAACAGACATTACATCGTATAACAGAGCGTTCGACCTAAGATGGACGTGCGCAATGGCTGGCTATCAGATAGTTTCAATTTGTTTTCGTGGTGAACCATGGTCAAGTAAAATGTAGAGAAGAGAGCTCGAAGAAGCTTGGCTATATTTATACAGCTCACTAGAAATTTATGTCTTCACTTAGGTCTACTCGGTTCCTCTGCACATGCACGCAGGTGAGAGTACTCGACACCTGCTTACACTTTCATCAGTGTAGACAAGCTCATACTGTCATCAGTTTTAGCCAGGTGTCCCGTTACACTGATACCGCTTGATTTTTCCACTCAACTCAGCTTGTCAGATTGGATTGACTAAACAGTTGACATGAGGTTTATATTGGCAAAAATGCAAGATGGTGAGAGTTTGACGAAGTTCGGCCGACCACTCTCGGCAGATAGATGCAGTCACAATCGGTTTATAAAATGGTTGGATGGTAGAGAGCGTAAAAAACATTGTTTATAGGACGTTCAAACAAATATCACTTATACTTTCAAAGCATCCTCTATACCTATAAAGTCTAACAGGTTATGAGCCCAAATGGCGAAGAAGTTGCTGCGGCTGGAGGTCGTCAGCAGCGCAGGGCAGATGCCGGTCGCGAAAGGGCCGGCGCCCTGGAGGAGAAAGAAGAGGTCAAGAAAGAACCAAGGGACACGCAGAGCAAGCTGCTGGACCTTCTCACGGGCCTCACGGAGCGCATGGAGGCGTCGCAAGGGCGACTGGAGCAGGGGGAGCGCTTGAAGAGCCATGAGGCCAGCGTTTTTGGTTCGGTGTTGGGGCAAGGCAAAGCCATGACCAGAGAAGCGTTGGTTGTGTCGCCACCGAGGCGTGTGTCACCCGGCGTATCGCCATCAACTTACTTTGGTGCAAGACAGCCTGGATACGCTGGTGCAGCGGTCAATGTTGAGATGGCGCAAGCGCCGCAATTAGTACTGCATCAGCATTACGTGCCACCACCCATGTACCAGCCGGCGCCCCCACCACACATGGCACCAGGATTACAATACGATCTTGTGACGGATACGCGACAGAGGAAGCTGGGCATCCGACCTTTTGCTGGCAAGGAATTGTATTAAGGTCTCGGAAGTGGGTTTTTATCGTGGGGCAAGATTTGTAAGGCAGATCATGTTCGCGGAGCGAGCAAGTGGTTTCCAGTGGAGTGAAGACGTCAAGGTAGACGTGGTAGGGCACCACTTGACCGGTATGACCGAACGATATTACAACCAACAGGTCGAGGGGTGTTTTGAAGAACAGCCGACGCTAGAGCATGCGATGCAGCGTCTACTCCATACGTGCGACCAAGATAACTCCCGCACAAAGTAACAAGATTTTTACAGCTCTTAAGAGTTACAAGCGAAGCTGGACAGAGCATTACCTGTATTTGGTGGCGGTGAGTGAAGCGTGTGGAGGTGCCGACAACCTAGTTCAGGAAAACATTGTGCTTTACGCCGACCCCAGTATGAGGGTGTCGATGTTGGCGAGGTTAAACCTCACGCGCATAGACTATTCGCGGCAGGCGGAAGAGCTTGCGCACTTCGCGCAGTCGACCGAGATCGAACTTCGCGGGAATAATATCGAAAAGGATGTGGTTAATACCGTCGAAAATGGACGCCGAGCCTATCCCAAGACACGAACGCACAATCGCAAGGACCGTCGAGATATGCGCACGTGCTACAAATGTGGAAAGCCAGGACATTTGAAGATAGTGTGCCCCGAGAGCAGTGCTGAGGCAATAGCAACGGATGATGTGGAATTAGTTCTGGCCATAGGCGGATCGAGTCGACATCTAGTTAATGACGCTTCATTACTGGGAGACCCTGAGTAACACATCAGCGAGTGCGTCGCTGCGGATGGTAGACACCTGTGCATAACGATGCGTGGAAGTGCGATAATTGCTACGACAGTGCTGGGTAAAAGAACCAAGGTGCGCTTGACGGATTTGTACTTCGCAAGAAACCTCGAGAGAAACATTATTTAGTATGGACTATTGGAGAGTAAAGGGTGTGGAATATCATACCGGGGCGATTACCGTGTGCTAGCCGCATTGGACGAAGGGCCAGCTGTTTTCGGCGTGGAAATACACAATAAAGTGTTGGTCGTGCGTGCACAAAAATGCGTACTAAGTGCGACGGGACGTGACGTGCTGATGTCAGCACTTGTACAACACGATGAGGACGTCGGACAGTATGCGCAGAAGGGATCGCTGATTCACTTTCATAAACGCCTTGAGCATCTTAATTACGACACTATAATTAGGATGGCCAAGAATCCCGCATCAGGAATACAGCCAACGGATGAGCTGCGGGCAAACTGCTTGGCTTGCGCCCAGGGGAAACAAACCAAGAACCCGCAGTCTCGAAAGGACACTGGAAGAAACGCACCGATCGACGTGATTGGAGGAGTTATATGCTCCGACTTGAAGGGACCAATGACCCCACGGAACAGGTTGGGCAACCGCTACATGGTGAATTTTATCGATCATCGGACAAACCACTGTCGCGTTTCCTTGCCCAAGTCCAAGGATGTCGCAGCTCAGAAGTTCAAGCACTTCATGGCCTTTTTTGAGCGACAATTCAATTGTCGTATTCACGTTTTAACACCGGACGGTGGAGGAGAATACAATGCTTTGGATCTATTCTGCAAGGTCACTGACATTGCGCGCCAGGTGAGCGAGCCACGTAATCAAGCAAGTAACGGAAAAGCGGAGCGAATGCACCGCACCATTATGAACATGGTGCGGAGCATGCTATTTGCTTGCGGATTGCCGTTAAATTTCTGGGGAGACGCCGTGGAATATGCGGTGTATATTTTTAACCGGATCCCGAGCAAAGCGAATATGGGAAGACAGTCACCATTTCAAATGCTTACGAAGATCATCCCAGACTTGAGCGACATAGTGGTTTTTGGATCGCCATGCACGGTCCATAGAGATGCGAGTAACAAGTAGCTGGGGGAGCGTGGAAAACAAAGCATGATCATCGGCAAGAGCGATAAAATGAAGGGCTACAGGGTTTATTTGCCAAGGGAGAAGACCGTCATCGTCTCACAGCACGTTCGAAACGTGGAAACACTTACCAAGGAGCAGAATGCGCAGTTACGTCGTGTGCATCCAACGGTGGAAGATGGAGAAATTGGCGAGCGTGGCGGTTATGCGTCGATGAATAACCCAATACCGGTTCCAAGAGAAAAAAGCAAGGGACGAGGACAAAAAAAACCTTGACGCGCGATGCCCACATGACCAGGACGGCGGCACAAAAGGCACGCGGAAACGATGAAGAAAGTAACCGGCCTGGTGAAGAGCTTAATAGCGTGCGGGAGGCAACCCGAAGAATTATGGGCAAGCCATGAAGAGTGAGCAGAGGGAAAAGTGGCTTACTGCAATGTCGGAAGAGCTGCAAGCGCTTGAAGACAACGGAGTTTGGTTGATCGTAGAGCCACCAAATTAAAGTCACGTGCTGCACATAAAATGGATCTATAAGACCAAAACGGACGCTGATGGAGCTATTAAGCGATTCAAGGCGAGATTTGTTGCCTGTGGCAATGAGCAGGTGTATGGCGTTGACTATGGTCTTGCGTTTGCTGCTTTTATGGAGTTGAGCACGG